ATTTCACCTTGATATCCATGTCTACATTTGGTTACGTTTTCTATTAAGATGGTATTGTAACGCCCCGCCCCGGAATCCCGGAGTCGGTACGCTATTAGATCTGATGGACTGGCCTCACAAACCACCACATGTCTTTTCAGCACGTTTTGTCCTCACTCACGCGCTCCCTGGAAAACTTCCCAGGGGGTCACCCATCCTAGAATTTCTCCAGGCCAAGCACGCTTAACTTTGGAGTTTCTAAGAGTTGGGTTCCCGAAAAGAAGATGCATCTTGGTGGTATGAGTATTCTAATCAAATCACCCTCTCAAAGGTTGGGGTATTACATACTCCCCCACTTAAACTCACAACGTCCTCGTTGTGCCAAATCATATCATCCAAGACCGTACCATCCGTGTGAGATTCTAGAGGTGGCTCCCGCCCTCTCGACGTAGCACTTTGTGCCGCATAGCACTTAGCTCTCACAATTCCGGTTGGTTTGGCTCTGATACCATTTGTAACGCCCCGCCCCGGAATCCTGGAGTCGGTACGCTATTAGATCTGATGGAGTGGTCTCACAAACCACCACATGTCTTTTCAGCATGTTTTGTCCTCACTCACGCGCTCCCTGAAAAACTTCCCAGGGGGTCACCCATCCTAGAATTTCTCCAGGCCAAGCACGCTTAACTTTGGAGTTTCTAAGAGTTGGGTTCCCGAAAAAAAGATGCATCTTGGTGGTATGAGTATTCCAATCAAATATATTAATACTAATCACATCACCCTCTCAAGGGTTGGGGTATTACAGGTATCATGTGATTTTGTTTAGATCAATTATCCTCTTCTATTGAAAATTAATTCCCTTAACCCATTTCCTCGTCCTCTTTGTCATTTAGGTTTGTAAATAAAAAAACCTGACTATTTTTTTAAACAAATTTCCCGAATCTGAAAAGAAGTGATATTTAGTAAAGGAATTTGCTTCTTCTTTCATTTCTATGTTGATATACTGTAGACTAATGAGGTTATTTCGGAGCATGAGATCAGCAGAAGGTATCAAAGTGAAATAGGATTGAACTTTGGGTGACTTCGGGTATCAAAGTGTCAAAAGATTCTATAGGTCATTAACGGCAAACAATACAAAAGCTTTCAGGTACCAAAGTGAAACAGATTATACACCTAAATTGAATGAACAAAGTAATGTTCTTTTTTACTGTAGAACGAAAAGTGTTTGCAATGATAAATATGAGTAAAGTAACTAAAACAAGTAAACGTAAACTTATATTATAGAAGTGTAAAACTAGTGAACATTTCCCAAAAAATAACTCCTCTTCGGAATGAAGTTGCATTCAATAATTCCCCTAGGATAAGGTTGTCAAATGTGTGGTTTTGGGTGGGTCATAAATAGGTGGGCATATTTGTGCCAATTTACCATTTATGATCAATTTAACATTTACTAAATTGGTCACTTCTCACCCATCCATTTATTAAATAGGTGGTTCATAGATGAACCAATAACCCATTTAGCTATTGAACTTTTACATATAAAAAAGTTTTAAGGGTTTATTTTTTAAACTTACAAATGATACATGAAATCCTAAAATTTTCAACAACCGCCTTTCAACAACCGCCTATAAATTTAAAATTAATAAAAAACACCCTTAAATATTTTAGAAAATGTGAAAAACATCATCGGGGGTTTAGAATTATAAAAACAACCCTGAAATTTTAAAAACTAACTAAGGTACATAAAATCCGAAAATTACCAGCAGCTCATGTAAATTTATAATTTACAAAAGAACCCTCAAAGTTTAAAAACTTTTTAAAAAATACCCTCAAGAGTTTAAAATTACAAAACAACCTCAGAATTTTCTAAACTTGCAAATGACACATGAAATTTGATATTTTTAGTAGTCCCCTATAAATTTAAAATTTGCAAATAGCACCCAAATAAATTTTAAAAATTGTGAAAAACATCCTCAAGGGTTTAGAATTACAAAAAACCATCCTAAAATTTTAAAACCTACAAATGACACTTAAAATCTAAAAATTATCGGCAGTCCCATAAGAATTTATAATTTGTAAAAAACACCCTCAAAACATAAAAATTACCAAAAAATCCTTAAGAGTTCAAAATTACGAAACAATATTATAATTTTCTAAACTTGCAAATAACACATGAAATCTGAAAATTTTCACTAGTCCCCTATAGATATATTGCAAAAAACACCCTCAAAGTTTTAAAAAATAAAAAAACACCCTCAAAAGGTTTTGAATTATAAAAACCACCCTGAAATTTTAAAACCTACAAATGACACATGAAATCTAAAAATTAACAGCAGCCCCAAGAAAATTTATAATTTACAAAAAACCCTCAAATGTTAAATATTACAAAAAACACCCTCAAAAAGTTCAAAATTATATAAAAATCTGAGAATTTTCTAAACTTACAAATGACACATGAAATTTGGAAATCTCCAACATCCCCTTGTAAATTTAAATTTGCAAAAAATACACTCAATGTTTCAAAATTTGCAAAAACACACTTAAAATTTCAAAAATTTCATAAAACACCAAAAACTTTCAAAATATGTAGATAAACACACTATAAATATAGAAATTACAAGTATCTTCTGCGGTTGTGTTCCATAAATTGTAAACTTGGGGGTGTTTTCCATAATTTTCAAACTTTTAGTGTATTTTTTGCAAATTTTAAATTTATAGGGGATTGGTGGCAGTTTCCAAATTTTATGTGTAATTTCTAGGTTTAGAAAATTCTGAGAGGTTTATATAATTTTGAACTTTTAAGGGTTTTTTTCAATTTTTAAAATTTGAGGGTGTTTTTTGAAAATTATAAATTTTTAGGGGACTTCTGGTAGTTTTTGGATTTTATGTATCATTTGCAGATTTTTAAAATTTCGGGGTGGTTTTTGTAATTCTAAACCCTTGGGCTGTTATTTGCAATTTTTAAAACTATGAGGATGTTATTTATAAATTTTAAATTTATAGGGAACTGCTGAAATTTTTTAGAATTTCATGTGTCATTTGCAAGTTTAGAAATTCTTGTGATTGTTTTGTAATTTTGAACTCTTGAGGGTGTGTTTTTTATAAGTTTTTAAATTTTGAGGGTGTTTTTTTACAAATTATAAATTTATAGTGTGTTGCTGGCAATTTTTGGATTTCATGTACCTTAGCTAGGTTTTGAAATTTCAGGGTTGTTTTTATAACTCTAAACCCTTTAGAGTGTTTTTCTCATTTTCTAAAACTTTTAAAGGTGTTATTTGCAAATTTTAAAATTATAGAGGGTTGTTGAAAATTTCATGATTTCATGTGTCATTTGTGAGGTTAGAAAGTTTTGAGAGTTTTTTTTTTAATTTTTAACTCTGGAGGTTTTTTTTAATATTTAAACTTTGAGGGTATTTTTTACAAATCTCAAATTTTTAAGGGGTTGTTGGTAATTTTTTTATTTTATGTGTGTTGGTCATTAGTCACCTTTAAGGTGTTTTCTATAATTTTGAACTTTTAAAAATATTTTTTGTAGTTATTGAAACTTTGAGAGTGTTTATGAAAGAATATCCATGTAAATACGCAAATGGGCGGTAATAACCCACTATTTATGATCCATTTTTCTTTAATAGAAAGAACACACACCTATTTATGGCCCATTTAATTGGATAAGTGGTTTGGATGGGTCATTTAGTGGATAAGTATGTGTGGAGAAATGGTTCTGGGTCAATTTTGTCATCCCTACCTTGGACAGCTGGGCTATAACTTTCTAAACAAGAAAAAACTTTGAGAGATATTGAGACTAAATTGATGAAATCATATTTAAAATGTTAAAAATTCTTGAAAGTTCGCGATAAAGTGACATCCCGACAAGTGACATGATTCTTTAGCAATTTTAAGAGACATTGAAAATGGTTTCCGCCCCTAAGCCATAAACCCAATTTTCATTTCGTTTTCCGGTTCTTATTTTCGGATGGCTTCAAAATGTGGGAAATAGGTTAATTTGAGATCTCTTTCATGCATTGAGGAAGAAGGAAATTGTGCTGATCGAATCCGAAAAGATCGCAATCAGCTTGAAAACATTGGGAAAATGATAAAAACCTATTTCAGTGATTTTCATAGAGAAATGAAGTGGAAATCAATTGATTAGTAATAAAATATTTCTGGATTCGTTTTTGATATCTTAGATTCCACCCAATAGAATTAAATGGAAAAGGGTTTACATCCCTAAATTCTTGTCCAACTAACAGTTGAAAGACTTTTCATAGAAACATTTGGAAATGTTTAGAATTGGTTTTTAACCAGGAAATGGTTTTCTATTTTTGTAATAAATCAACCGACAAATTACTCTATGTCTGCGGATGACTTTATGCGACTCTAACATGACCTTACAAGTTGAGCGTCTTTTTAGGATTAAAAGACATTTTCTAACCTTTTGGAGTTATCTCAAAATGGATTAAGCTTCTTCTAGTTTTTGTAAAATTTACTCAAAACAGAAGTTATTTTTGAGGAAAAATTGAGCACATACTGCTTGAATTTCCAGGTATTCTACATATTATGTCATGTTCAGGATTGCATAGCTGATAGTGAGTATGATTCTGGAAAAGGAACTGAACAACACAATTCATCGAGCAATGCTTGTCATCAGTAGGTAGAAGAAAACAACAATGGTTGAAATATTTACGGCTCATCTCGTTTCTAGGCTACTCTTCTACACAGGAGGGAATCATTTGAAGAGCCCATAGGAAGAGTGAGCCTTCAGAAGCTCTGGTATCAATAATGGCGATGATGATTTTCTAAAAGCAATTCCGTAAATTTAATTACAGGTTAATCACCAAGCTTTTTAGCATCCTTCTTTGAGATAAATACCATCTGCACATAATTGAAGGTTGATGCCTCGGTTTCAATACCGAGTATGAATGACATTATTTCTTCCATTTTACTATTTTTTAAAGTAAACTGTATCAAAGTCTTCTCCTTGAACAAACTCTTCATGGACTTTCTTTTCTACTTGTATCCAAAGTGTCAACGATCCCCGATGCAGTACTTATGAGTTCAACGAACACCCTTTCATAAATTTAGTACTTACCATTTAGTCTTCCTTCTACATACAATACTCTACAAACACTAGGACAACGACGAGTAGGAAGAAGAAGAAGAACACAAAATTGTGTGACTTCCTCACTAAACCACGTCCATAACCAACAACTTAAAAAATGCCTATCTATTTTATTTTCCCTAATGGAAAATCAAAATACTAAGTACAAACAATATCGTCGATCGCAAAGAGAGGTTGCAATCCGGTGAAGGTGCTGCGACGCTCCCCTGGGGTAGTGAAGGATAAGCATCTGGCGACGGCATGACACATTCATGTCCATTGAACAACACATTCCTCGGAAAAGGCCATCCTCCCTGAAAGGTAAATACGCCAGGATCCTTGCGGAGTAGCATCTCAGACTGCACGTTCCCGGATCTTCCTTGCTGCAGTAGCAAGTCGTTGTAGTACTTTATCCCCCAAAACATTCCTGTGTCATCTGAATAAGGATGAAAAAAGAAAGAATTAGATTCTTTTATGTCAGGTGCCTAATATTCCAAACCCACCGAAAGTGCACAGCCACATATGTTGAAAATTTGAGAAGAAAATAAAAGAGCGGACCCCACAGCTACAGTAAAATATTAATATTTTATTGTGCATAGTGTTTTTCTAAAAACTATAAATAGGGCTCCAAATCCTTAAGAAAATTTCATCCCAGAAACAACTTCTTATATAAGAAGAGTGAGAGAGAAAAAAAATAGAGAGAGTTTCTCCTTGTAAAGAGAGAGTTTGTAACTCCAGAGTTTTTTCCTCATAGTGAATTCTTCTATCCTTGCCCGTGGACGTAGGCAATCAAGTGCCGAACCACGTAAATCTGTGTGTCCAACATTTTATCTCTACTTTTGCTCTACTATTGCTGCGACCCTGCTCTATTAGGCCCCGGGTTTGTCCCAACAAGTGGTATCAGAGCCAACTTAGGGTACTTGTATATATCTACTTATCGTATGCTCTGTGGCTGCCACCAAAGGTGGATCCTCCACATCAGAAAATAAGTTAGGTTATCACTTACCCTTTGGAGGTGACGGGTACTGTTCACGAGTACGGTACTGTTCAAAAATACGGTACTATTCACAAGTACGGTACTATTCACAGATACGGTTACTGTTCATAAATACAGTTACTGTTTACGTGAAATAGTAAGAAGTTACTATTCGTGGTAGAAGCAATGGCGGCGAAGTTCAAGATCGAGAAATTCGACGGGAGGAATTTCTCACTGTGGAAGTTGAAGATAAAGGCTATCTTGAGAAAAGATAATTGTCTGGCGGCCATTGGTGCAAGGCCGGACGACATCACAGATGATAAGAAGTGGAACGAGATGGACGAAAATGCTATTGCAAATCTCCATCTGGCATTAGCAGACGGGGTGCTGTCAAGCATAGAGGAGAAGAAGACAGCAAAGGAGATCTGGGATACTCTAACAAAGCTATATGAGGCGAAATCCATGCACAATAAAATCTTCTTAAAAAGGAGACTTTACACTCTGAGGATGGCGGAATCTACATCGATGACCGACCACATCAACACCCTAAACACACTGTTCTCCCAACTCACAACGTTGGGATATACAGTTGGTGCGAATGAACGTGCAGAACTTCTACTTCAGAGTCTACCTGACTCGTATGATCAACTCATCATCAACCTGACGAACAACGTCCTCACGGACAATCTAGTCTTCGACGATGTTGCAGCCGCTGTTCTGGAGGAAGAAAATCGGCGCAAGAACAAGGAAGACAGACAGACAAGTTCGCAGCAAGCGGAGGCCTTGTCGGTGACGAGAGGAAGATCAACAAAACGTGGCTCCAGTGGGAGTCATGCCCATGGTAGATCGAAATCACGAAGTAAGAAGGATATCAAATGCTACAACTGTGGCAAAAGAGGGCACGTCAAATCGGAGTGTTGGCACAACAAGAAGAGTGGAGATAAAAAGTCTTCAGAGCCATCAACATCCCAAGGATGTGTTGTCAGCACGTCAGAGGATGGTGAAATTCTATTCAGTGGAGCAACCACTGTTGATGAAGGCAGAAAGAAGTTTGCTGATGTCTGGCTTCTAGATTCAGCAGCCTCTTGGCACATGACCTCTCGGAGAGATTGGTTTCACAAATATGAACCTATCTCAGGAGGATCTGTATTCATGGGGAATGATCATGCCTTAGAGATTTGTGGTATTGGTACTATCAAAATCAAAATGTTTGATGGTATAATACGCACCATTCAAGATGTGCGACATGTGAAGGGCTTGAAGAAGAATCTATTGTCTTTGGGACAATTAGATGAGCTCGGGTGCAAGACTCATATAGAAAATGGAGTCATGAAGATTGTTAGAGGGGCGCTTGTGGTAATAAAAGGAGAAAAGGTAGCTGCAAATCTGTACATGCTCAAGGGAGAGACTCTGCAGGAAGCTGATTCATGTGTGGCATCAACCAGCCGTGGAGAAGAACAAACCATGATGTGGCATCGCAAGCTAGGCCACATGTCAGAACGAGGCTTGAAGGTTCTCTCCGATCAGAAACTGCTTCCTGGACTTAATTCGGTAGCTCTTCCATTTTGCGAGCATTGTGTTACAAGCAAGCAGCATCGACTGAAGTTCAACACATCGAGTTCTAGAAGCAAGGCTATTCTGGAACTGGTTCATTCTGATGTATGGCAAGCACCAGTTACATCCTTAGGAGGAGCAAAGTACTTTGTGTCCTTTATTGATGATTACTCCAGGAGATGTTGGGTGTATCCTATCAAGAAGAAGGCGGATGTGTTCTCAGTCTTTAAAGCCTACAAAGCGCGGGTCGAGCTTGAATCTGAGAAGAAGATCAAGTGCTTAAGGTCAGATAATGGAGGAGAATACACAGACGGTGAATTCCTAGCATTCTGCAAGCATGAAGGCATCAAAAGACAATTCAGTACGGCTTATACTCCTCAACAAAATGGAGTGGCGGAGCGGATGAACAGAACTCTGTTGGAAAGAACAAGAGCTATGTTGGCTACTGCAAATCTGGAAAAAGTCTTTTGGGCGGAAGCAGTAAAAACCGCCTGTTATGTGGTGAATCGATCTCCATCAACTGCAATACAATTGAAGACGCCGATGGAGATGTGGACTGGCAAGCCAGCTGATTATTCCAACCTCCATATATTTGGAAGTCCAGTGTACGTAATGTACAATGCCCAAGAAATTACAAAGCTGGATTCAAAATCCAGAAAATGCATATTCTTGGGGTATGCTGATGGAGTAAAGGGGTATCGCCTGTGGGATCCCACTACCCGCAAGGTTATCATCAGCAGAGATGTTATCTTTGTAGAGAACCAACTACAAAGTGAAGAGAAAGAAAGCAGTTCGAGGAAGGACTCAGAGACTGTAGCTGTTCAGGTAGAAGATAATCCGAATTCTTCTGAAGCGACACCGGAGCATGATGTACAAGAACCAGTCGAGGCCGAGGCTCCAGAAGTTCGAAGGTCAACTCGTGAGAGAAGACCACCGACTTGGCACTCGGAGTATATTACGGAGAGTAATGTTGCATACTGTCTTCTAACAGAAGATGGAGAGCCATCAACTTTTCATGAAGCTATAAATGGCACAGATGCATCTTTGTGGATGGCAGCATTGCAGGAAGAAATTGAAGCTCTCCATAAGAACAAGACTTGGGAACTTGTGTCACTGCCACAAGGAAGAAAGACCATTGGAAACAAATGGGTCTACAAGATCAAGCGAAATGGCGATGATCAAGTGGAGCGATATCGTGCTAGATTGGTGGTAAAAGGATATGCTCAGAAAAAAGGTATTGATTTTAATGAAATATTTTCTCCTGTAGTGCGACTAACAACAGTCCGAATAGTCCTGACTATGAGCGCTATATTTGACTTACATCTAGAGCAGCTAGATGTGAAAACAGCATTTCTTCATGGAGATCTTGAAGAAGAAATTTACATGCTCCAACCAGAAGGTTTTGAAGAAAAAGAAAAAGAGAACTTGGTTTGCAGATTGAACAAATCTCTGTACGGTCTAAAGCAGGCGCCGAGGTGTTGGTACAAGAGATTTGATTCATTCATCATGAGCCTTGGATACAACAGACTTAATTCAGACCCTTGTGCATATTTCAAGAGGTTTGGTGAAAATAACTTTGTTATCTTATTGTTGTATGTTGACGACATGTTGGTTGCTGGCCCCAACAAAGATCGTATCCAAGAATTAAAGGCTCAGTTGGCTAGGGAATTTGAAATGAAGGATTTAGGATCTGCAAACAAGATTCTAGGGATGCAAATTTACCGAGACAGAATTAATAGGAAGATTTGGCTTTCTTAGAAGAACTATTTGAAGAAAATCTTGCGACGCTTTAACATGCAAGATTGTAAGTCAATTTCTACCCCACTTCCTGTTAATTTCAAGTTATCCTCCAGTATGAGTCCTAGCAGTGAAGAAGAGAGGATGGAGATGTCTCGAGTGCCGTATGCATCAGCAGTGGGAAGCTTAATGTTCGCGATGATTTGTACAAGACCAGACATTGCACAAGCAGTGGGAGTGGTTAGTCGATACATGGCGAATCCTGGTAAAGAGCATTGGAATGCTGTAAAGAGGGTTCTAAGATACATTCAAGGAACCTCAAATGTTGCATTATGTTATGGGGGATCTGATTTTATTGTCAGTGGATATGTTGATTCTGATTATGCAGGTGATCGTGATAATAGCAAATCCACCACAGGTTATGTGTTTGCACTTGCTGGCGGAGCTGTAAGCTGGGTTTCAAAACTGCAGTCAGTTGTGGCTACTTCAACAACAGAAGCAGAGTATGTAGCAGCTACACAAGCTAGTAAAGAAGCGATGTGGTTGAAGATGGTGCTGGAGGAACTCGGCTATGAACAAAAGAAGATATCTTTATTTTGTGACAGTCAGAGTGCTTTGCATTTGGCAAGAAATCCAGCCTTTCATTCAAAGACCAAGCACATTCGAGTTCAGTATCACTTCGTTCGTGAGAAAGTGGAAGAAGGAACAGTGGATATGCAGAAAATTCACACCAAAGACAACCTAGCAGATTTTTTGACCAAAGCAGTCAGTACTGACAAATTTATTTGGTGTCGATCCTCTTGTGGTCTGATGGAGACGTAAGCAACATGAAGATGGCAAGATAGAAAGAATGGTGTGAAGATATGATTGATGCTCAATCAAATCTTCAAGTGGGAGATTGTCAGGTGCCTAATATTCCAAACCCACCGAAAGTGCACAGCCACATATGTTGAAAATTTGAGAAGAAAACAAAAGTGCGGACCCCACAGCTACAGTAAAATATTAATATTTTATTGTGCATAGTGTTTTTCTAAAAACTATAAATAGGGCTCCAAATCCTTAAGAAAATTTCATCCCAGAAACTACTTCTTATATAAGAAGAGTGAGAGAGAAAAAAATAGAGAGAGTTTCTCCTTGTAAAGAGAGAGTTTGTAACTCCAGAGTTTTTTCCTCATAGTGAATTCTTCTATCCTTGCCCGTGGACGTAGGCAATCAAGTGCCGAACCACGTAAATCTGTGTGTCCAACATTTTATCTCTACTTTTGCTCTACTATTGCTGCGACCCTGCTCTATTAGGCCCCGGGTTTGTCCCAACATTTTAAGGGTAAATTTCGCAGATTTCCTCAGGTTGGGCTGTTTGAGATAAGTCGGCCCCTTAACTATTTAAATTCCACGAAACCCCCGGAACTTCTGCTAAACCTGTTGAAGATTGTTCACTTTAACCCCCTAAAGCAACACTCTCAAATCTAGCACGTCACATGTCAAAAACATGACGAAAAAAGCGATAATGCCTGTCAGGCCTAAAAATTTAATGGAAATAACAAAAAGAATAAAAGGATGATTTTTTTTTTCTTTTTCAGATTAAGAGGTATTTTCATTTTTTTTTCTTCCATAGTCCTTTTCTACAAACAATTTTGTCATATAAGTAGCATAAAAGTGCACTAGAATATTTTGTTACAGCGTCGATAAAGAAAAGAAGACCAAAAATTATGGCACATATGCTTGGAAGTGAAAAGGTGAAAGAGTGGAGTACTCACTGATGTTGCCATACTGAATCAGAGGTTTGTAGTTGAAGCTGAATATTTGTGTTAAGCTCTGGAGGTTAGGATGGCGTATCACCAGATTCCAATCGCTATAGTTCTTAAATAAGTCGAAGTTGGTTACAGTCATTTTAACCCTCCAATACTGCTTATAGCTCGTTTTCACATGCCAATGTACACGTATGGGGCACATATGTTGAGTGCACATCAAAACAGGCTCTGATGGTAACTGTAAGAACTCAGGTACATTTCCATCTCTGAAATAAATGAGAAAATACGATGAATTGCATCATGAAGTTGAATTTTTATTTTTTATTTTTTAAGTTTAAGGATAAAATATAGCATTCATCGATAGGCTTGCCTTGCACACTGGAGCCTATTTGGATGTCCTTGGCAGCCGCAACTGCAAGTAGGACATGATACTATAGTCTCATTGTAGAAGGTTGATAGGGAAACACAGCAAGAGGGTTTGGCTGATTCTCTGAACTGCGAATAGGAACAAATCACTTGCCATGTCACTGCACCATTTTTGTCCAAAAATAGTAAGGGAAAATATATTTTATACAAAAAAAAACTAAATTATTAAGACGATAATTCTTAATAGCATGTCAAAAACAATTAAGAAGCAAGTAATCAATGGAGATTACCAAGAAATTAGACCGATCGAATAGTAGGAAAACAAGCGAACTTTAATGTAAACTACATGCTCACTGCTTATTAGCGAAAACTGGAGATGAGAAGTTGCCATATAAACTATGAATATATGGCACCTCAAGTAATATGGAGAAAAAGTGCAAGGCTTTGCGTAAGTACATAATTAGGACTCACACAATGCTTGTTTCTGATGGCGGGTATTTGAGCTCAAGAACTTCGTTGGAGGAGCAACAGACGCATTGCTACAAGTATATCCAGGAATCGCGAGACTGAAATTTGAAGGCATCAATCTCATAGAATCCTTAGATCCCACATTCATTTGGAAAGAAGCCACATATTTGGTCATATCCTGAGTCATTGATGATAATACACCACCGCGGCAGCAATTTTGTGTTTGCATTCTATAAGGAGCTCCTGGTAATAAATCCACAATGTATGGATTTTTCTCGCAGGAATGTGGAAGATTGCCTCTAAAGCGAGAGCAGTTACCTTGCTCCGTGGCCTCAGCTCCTCTAATGTCCCAAATTACTTCTTCGCCACTCCAAGCCCAACCGAGCTTCCATCCAGGAGTCTCAACGTGTCGATATAGTTGGTAGTTGAAGATGTTAACCATTACCTGTTTCATAGTACTAACTGATCATATGAGATTGAATATGACTAAACATAGAAAGGGTATTTTTATGCTTAGGTAGGGCTGCAATGCTCCAGTCATAAAGAAAATCAATTTGAAATTGAGA